AGTAGAGACGGGGTTTCACCATGTTGACCAGGATGGTCTCGATCTCTTGACCTCGTGATCCACCCGCCTCGGCCTCCCAAAGTGCTGGGATTACAGGCTTGAGCCACCGCGCCCGGCCAAAAAAAAATAAATTATTTTTTAGATGTCTGCTTAAATGTGTGACGGCATATATAGCTTATAAAAATTTAATTTATAGCAGGTGTATGTGTGGAATTTTTTTGAAGATGACTGGTCTGGAGCAGGGTTTCTCAGCCTCAGTGCTATTGCTATTTTGGACTGGGTAATTCATTGTCGTGGGGAGGCTGTCTTACACACTGTAGGATGTTTTTGAGTATCTCTGGTCTCTACTCACTAGATGCCTGTAGCAGCTCCCTAGTGATGACCAAAAATGTTTCCAGACCTTGCCAAAAGTCTTCTGGGGGGCAAAAATGCCACCAGTTAAGAATTACTGATTTTACTGATTTAGGGCCAGTAACATCACAGTGGCTCACACTTGTAATCCCAGTACTTTAAGAGACTGAGGCAGAAAGATCACTTGAGGCCACGAGTTCCAGCCTGGCCAACATAGCAAACTCCTCCTATCTCTTAAAAAAAAAAAAAAGAATTACTCATCTAAAACCATGTTGATCTCCTTTCAGTGACATAGAATTTATATCAGCATTTCAGACATTCGCTAACCTCAGTTTTGAGTTGTCTGCTATATAGCTAATCAAAAGGATGATCTAAATTGGAAGATTTTCAAGAAATATAATCTAAGGGATATGATATTAATTCATTCACAAAAGTCAAATTTTATCCCTGTGCCAAGGCAGGTAGCCAAATAGCTACGTGTCGATTGTCTGTTAAGTTTTACAACATCTCTTTGTATTTTCCTTTTTTTTTTTTTTTTGAGATGGTCTTACTGTGTTGCCCAGGCTGGAGTGCAGTGGCATGATCACGGCTCACTGCAGCCTCAACCTCCTGGGTCTGCCTCAGCCTTCTGACTGCAGGTGAGCACTACCACACCCAACCAATTATTTTATTTTATTTTTTGTAAGGATGGAGTTTCGCCATGTTACCCAGGCTGGTCTTGAACTCCTAATCTGCCCACCTCAGCCTCCCAAAGTGCTGGGATTATAGGCATGAGCCACTGCACTCGGCCCTTTAGTACTATTTTTACCTATAAAGAATCCAAAGTTCTGAAAGGAGCAGTGTCCAGGTAGGTTGTTCTCATTCCAAAGGTCTTGTTCTTTACACTTTGAGGCTATAAAGCTGTGAAGGCAGTGCTTGCCTGGGTCTGTAAGTGTTACTTCCTCTTATTATGTCATTTGGGTTATGAGGAAAGCTCAAGATTGCTTAAGTTCTGAAATAATCTATATCAAACCCTAGAGGGAATCGAGAAACAAATACATTTAGAATCAATGAAAATAATTTGTGGCAGCAATTGTCTATAATAGTTGACATAAGCTAAAAATACAAACTCAGATTATATTAAAATAATTTAATAGATAAATTGCCCATTGAATTCAACAAAAATTTGAGAGGCATTCCTAATTCTGGAGATGAAGTAAAGGGCAGTAACATTGTGCAATTCTTCCCTTGTTACCTTTGTCAGAGGCAGGAGATTGAATTAGATTAGCCTCGAATCTAATCCAGTGTGGCAATTCTTGTATTTTTGTGTTAAGAGACTACTATACCATTTTATATTCATCTTGCATATAAGTACATATGTAATGTCACTTTTCCTACCTAAAATTAAAAGCTTGTCTCATGTTATCTTGGGTTGTAGTTTGTTATAACATATTTGCTAGTCCTAGAACAATTACATGCTGTTTCTACAGAAAAAAAAAAAGTAACAGTTTCTTGACTTTTTCCTGCCTTCAGTTTCATGTTTTCCAGCACCCAACATAACTTGTAAGGATTCTAGTGGCAATGAAACTCATTTTACTGGGAATGAAGTTGGTTTTTTCAAGCCCATATCTTGCCGAAATGTGTAAGTACTTTACTGAAACTTAAATTTTCAGATTACTTGGCTATATTGTATCTTGATTACATAGAGTAAAGAGATGAGATAATTTATGGGGAATATCCTGAAAATGTATCTTTTATCTTTTTGCTTGTGTCAGAAAACTTCTATTTTAAGTGTTTTTTGGTTTTTGAGACAAGGTCTCGCTCAGTGACCCAGCAGTGGCATATCATGTCTCACTTCAACCTCAACCTCCCAGGCTCAAGCAGCCCTTCCACTTCAGCCCCCCACGTAGCTGGACTACAGGTTTGTGCCACCATGCCTGGCTAATTTTTAAATATTTTGTAGAGATGAGGTCTCCCTGTGTTGCCCAGGGCTGGTCTCGAACTCCTAGTCTCACGTGATCCTCCCACGTCGGCCTCCCAAAGTGCTGGGATTTACAGGCATGGCCCACCACACCCAGCCAACTGTGTATTTTTTTTTTTTAATAAATGCAATTCACCAATCAAGTTGACCTGAGTAGTTAGTATGTGAGATAAATAAAGACTATCAATGGCCTCATGCCATGTTAATTCAGGTCAGTCAGTTTGTGCCACTAATTGAGTTATGAAAAAATTGTCTTCAAAATATAGGATTTTTCTAGAGTACAAATAGTGATTGTGTACCTATTATATCAGAAAAATGCAAATTAATTATTTGCACATAAAGGGCATTTTTTTTTCCAATTTATTTTCTTGCATTTTAGGTTTTGGGGTACATGTGAAGAACATGCAAGATTGTTGCATAGGTACACACGTGGCAGTGTGATTTGCTGCCTTCCTCCCCATTTTATAACCACATGGGAGACTTGTTTCAGGAACTCATTCCTGTAGCTATACATTGAGTCACTTAAACTCCAGTATTTTAGTCTCTGGTTAAAATCTGCCATCTCTCCATTGATCTTTAATCCCTTTTGAGCCATCTTGTGCACTCTAGTCTCCAAGTACTTCTTCTCCAAGGTCTGACAGCTGCATCCCTGGACTCCACCTCCTTCCTTATTTGACCTGGACTTCCTCCGGGAAGTGAATCAGTGAGAGTTTTAGAGTTCAAGCAATAGAAACTGACTCTTGCTAACTTCAGCAGAAAAGGAAGCTACTGGAAGCATATTGAGGGGTTTCAAAAAGCAGTGGGAAATTTAGAAACTGGGCTTGGAAAAGAGGTGGCATGTGTTTGGTTTGTCATTCAGTAAAAATTTATTTCTTATCCTCTATCAACCTCCACGGGAGAAATATGACATTGGATTTTCCCATGTGATTTTCTTTGGCCACTGAAGCATTGGAGGAAGAGACAGTATGCCTCTAGCCTTAGAAGCATTTGTGTTTCCACTCACCCTGAGAGTGTCCATCATAGAACATGCGTTCTCTGGGTAAATCTGCTAGTCCCAGAAGAATGAAAGACTGGTGCAATAAAGATATTCCAGTCAATTTATACACTGCAGCCTGAAACAGATATCCCCAGGTAACTGGCATATCTATGAGCAAGAAACAATGCTTTTTATTATAGGTCCCTGAGATTTTATGATTGTTTATTACACAGCATTGTGTGAGTAGCTGGTGGAGAAAGACAAGAACCAAGGATGGGTGGGGAGCAGGACCCATGACTAAGCATGCCACAAGAACTAGTTGATAAGGATATATCTCCTTGCTCCTTTGGATGTTGCTACTGCTGGATGCTCAACTGCACAAGTATGAATGTGTTCTAAGCTAGTGCTTTTCAAACTTTCATATGTATAAATCATGTAGGATCTTGTTAAAATGCAGATTCAGTACATCTGGGTGGGCCCTGAGATTCTGCATTTCTAAGGCTCCCAGGTGATGCCAATGCTACTGGCCCCCAGACAGATGGGAATATCCAAATGGTGAATCTAGGTCAAATGTCCACACCTTGGCTGTTAGGTGACAGGTAGAGGGATGACCCTTCTGTGGTGAGTCAGGGAGCACTATACCCCAGTAGTGCTATGCAATAGGAAAAAAGAAGAGCAGCTAAAAATATTCAAATATCTATTCCAGACTCCCAATTAAATCACTTTAACCTTTCTCTTGCTCTTGGTCCTGCTATTGAACTTGTTCGGCAACTCCTGATCTTGGATCAATCCTCTGGCTACCTTCATCACTTTTACCAGTTTGTTCATTCGTTTAATACATATTTTCTGAATTCCCATAATATGCCAGCCATCAGGGATAATTTGGTAAAAAAAGAATAACAAAGATCCTACCTCTTATGGCTTATATTCTGGTGGAAAAAAACAGACATTCTCAAATAAGAAAATAAATAAAATGAATCCAGGGCGCTAAATGTGCTATGAAGAGAATATCATGATGAGTAACTAGGAGCAGCTTACATGAGATAAGTTAAGCTTAAGTCTGAATTATGAGCTCAGAGAATAGCTGAAAGAAAAATGTTCAAGGCTGAGGGACCAAGTGCAAAGTCCTGAGGCAAGGAAGGTCTTGGTTTTGAAAAACAGAAAGAAGTCCAGTGAGACTAGAGTAATTGAGCAAGAGGGAGAGAAGTGCTGAATTAGGGTGAAGAAGTAGGCAAAAGCCAAGCACACAGGAAAAGTTAGGGAATTTAGATTTTATTCTGGACATAACAGGAAGCATTGGAAGATATTTAAGTAATAGCAGAAGATGAATCCATATATATTCTGAGAGCTCACTTAGGCCACTGAATGGAGAATAAATTGTAAGGCGAAGAATAGAAATTAGGAGATGAACAAGGAGAGTGGCAGTGGTCTGGGTGAGAGATGCTTGTGGCCTGGCACCTACGTTTTTTCTGCTGTATGAGAAAGCCACATACTTCTGTTTAAAGGTAATCCCTCCACCTGAATCACTCATCATCTTCTCTGCTTTTATTAATTCTCCCTGTTTTCTACCTTCAATCTTTTCCTTCCTTGGGGTCTATCTCCTCAGTACACTAATATATTCAGATCTCTTACATATAAAAAAGTAACAGTATTAAGAGGTGGGACCTTTAAGAGATGATTAGGCTTCACCTTCACTTTTTCTGCCGTGTAAGAGTGGAGTGAGAAGATGGCTGTCTATGAGGAAGCAGGCCCTCATTGGACGCTGAATCTGCTGGTGCCTTGATCTTGGACTTCCCAGCTTCCAGAACCTCACAAATGGATTAAAGCCATCATGGCAGGAGTGAGTTAGTTATCTTGGGAGTGGCTTTCTGATAAAACAATGAGTTCAGTCTAATTTCATCTCTCTGCCTCATGCAGTTGCTTCTGCCTTCCGCCTGTCCTCTTTGGGATGACCCTTGTCAGGGACTAGCACTATGCTCTTGAACTTCCCAGCCTCCAGTACAGTGAGCAAAATAATTTTTTTTGTTTGTTTTAAAAATACCCTAGTCTGTGGTATTCTGTTATAGCAGCACAAAATAGACTAAGACACTCACATTCTATAATACCACTCTTTTTGTGCTCTCTTCCTGTCTGGCAGTTTCTTTTCAGTCTGGGTTTTCATCTTTCTTGTCCATACCACTGTCTACATCCTGTCATTTATCATCTGAGTGTGGTTTCAGCCTCCTTACTGTGACCTACCTTTCTCTACCAGAGCCCTCCTCCACATCATTGTGTGCTTTGGTTTCTAAGAAGAATGGGTTAGAAGATATAGTGACAAACTGGAATAATTCAGAAACACAACTATTTGTTTAAAGGATTATGTGTTTGAAGAATGATTCCAGTTTACCTTTGGAAGGCTTAGCCTCAGGAGAAATGAGTTTGGTGTTCAGACTGTCCACTTGCAATAGAAGAGCTTCTGGACAGCTTAAGTATTTTCAGCTGTAGACACTGGGATTGTCTGCACCAGCTGATCTAATTACTACTTCCTTACCTATACCTAACGTTATACCTTGGTGAAGAATTATCTTTGAATAAAGTCATTCCTGCATGCAGTCACAGCAGGAACCTCAGGTAAACAATTTATTCAGAGTAATGGCTCTGCCATATCCACCAGTCCCAATCTTGGTTCATACACTATAGAGAACAGCAGCAATTAACAGTGACATTTTAATCACCAGTCTTAAGATATTTTTATTATAAGGATTGCTGAAGTTCCTCAATTCATAATCTCTATGGTCTGAATATCTGTGTTCCTCTAAAATTCATACTGTATGTTGAAATCCTAACCCCAAGGTGATTGTGTCAGAAGGTGATTAGTGCCTTTATTTTAAAAAGCACAAGAGAGTTCCTCACTCCTTCTGCCATGTAAGAGTGGAGTGAGAAGATGGCTGTCTAAGCAGGCCCTCATTAGACACTGAATCTGCTTGTACTTTGATCTTGGACTTCCCAGCTTCCAGAACTGTGAGAAATAAACATCTATCATTTACAAGCCACCTAGTCTATGGTATTTATTATAAAAGTCTGAACAGACTAAGAAAATAATTTTATTACTAGATTCATGAAAAATATTCCCAGGGTTGCCTCCAGGGAGATAATCTAGGAGTCCAATGCAAGGAAACCTGGTCACTGATTTCTAAGGCAGAACTCTTTGTCTATGTCTCCCATGAGACTGTAAATCCTGAAAGCAAGGAAGATGTAATTTCATTTCTGTTACTGTAGCATCTGGCAAAGTGACTGGCATTTAGTAGCTACTCAATAAATATTTGTTGAGGATGAGAGGCTGAATATACAAACTAATACCAGCCAGATCATGTATAAAAATAGAACTCTCACCTGCATGTGGTGGCTCATGCTTTTAATCCCAGCCTTTTGGGAGGTCAAGGTGGGAGGACTGCTTGAGCCCAGGAGTTTGGGGCTGCAGTGAGCTATGATCATGCCACTGAAGTCCAGCCTGGGCAACAGAGCTCAACCCTGTCTCTATTTTAAAAAAGCAGAACTTTGACCCACAACCGGTAGTAACCTTCCCAGGAAATCAACCCATATCTACAATAACCAGTCCAGGAAGCTAGCCTGCTATGTTAGACTTGTAGTAAGCCAGGTTGCTATCTCTAATAACAATCTAAGAAGCCAAACAATATCATTATAA